TCTGCTCCTATGATGCTGCTTGGCCTGCTGTGTTCATCCAGCCCTGCACCTTGTTGTCTCGGATTCTCCAGCATCTGCAGTTCCTACTATCTCTAACTCTACTTACAATCTGTTTGGTGTAGATTCAAACTGCTGTAGGAGCTGTATGTTTGCTTATTCGCTCCTTCTGGGTCTAACCTATGTCTTGTTCAGCCTGCTAGGATTGCACCAATATCATTGTCATCTACTGAGCTGTGTTTTCTATGTCTCCTTTTACATAGTTTCAACCAGAAGTTTTAATTTCCAGAATGTCAATCTCCGTCTTAGTTCCATTAGAAACTGGAAGAATCCGTTTTCTTTTCTGAGTTTCCCTATTCAGTTAGACTTGTCTCAATAAAACAAGCTTCAAAATCACAGCTTTCATAACCCTTTGAGTTCCTATACATTAATTTGTTTTTTTTCTTATTTATTTACCACTAATTTTCAAACACAGGTCTTTGTGTTTTTTGAAATCAGAAACATTTTCTAACCCAGTTTGAAAGATTTTTATGTGATATTATTGAAAAGATGTGACACTATATTGGTGGAAGAGGACAAAATACAAAGTAGCTTATTTGGCCAAAATGTGGTTAGCTCAGCTGGTTAGAGCATGGTGCTAATAATGCCAAGGTCATGGGTTCAAGCCCCATTTTGGCCAAGTCTGTTCATTTCTGGCCATGAGTTGAGACAGGAAGCTTGTGTGACAGTTTTTACTCTTTTTCAAGGGCAGCACAGTGGCACAGTGGCTCAGTGGTTAGCGCTGCTGCCTCACAGTGCCAGGGACCCAGGTTCAATTGCACCCTCTGGCAACTGTCTGTGTGGAGTTTGCACATTCTCACCAGGTTTCCTCCCACAGCCCAAAAATATGCAGGGTAGGTGGATTGGCTGTGCTAAATTACCCATAGTGTTCAGGGATGTTTGGATTAGATATGGGTAAATGCAGGGGTAGGGGGCTGGGGCTGGGGCTGGGTCTGGGTGGGATGCTCTTCAGAAGGGCAATGTGGACTTGTTGGGCTGAATGGCCTGTTTCCACACTGTAGGGATTCTGTGAAAAAAAAATACAAAATCAAAGTATGACCAATGTAAAATCTGATGGCTCTCTTGTTTACTTACATTTGAGGTATTTAAGGTAGAAAACAAAGATGTCTCTACCAATTTATTGAATTAAATTGGACAGAATGTTACCATTTTTAAAGTGTTCCAGGGCATGTAACAACACTTCATAACTGAATTTGGTTGGAAGGTAAAATGTATTTTTTTTCAAATGGTATCTTGATAAGCTACAGTAAGCATACTTTCTGTGAACTGTGAATTTTAATGAACTGCTGATTGCTATTGCCATTGATCACTGCTCTTCATACGGATGCCCAAATCACAGATATTTGAAATAAATTGCTGCATCCTTTTTTTTGATCTTGAGTCAATGATAAAAAGGCCTGCTATTATAAGGTGGATTTCTGTAGCAGTTTGCACTCTGTTATCCCCTAGTAGCGTGTATGGTTGTCCTAATTTCAGCTTGCAGCGAGCAAGAATTTCTGTTCATTCTTTTCCCCAGGCCCCTGGTTCTCAGAAATGTCAAGCATCCACTTGTCGTACATTTATAGTTATTGGAATGGGTACTCTATATTTTATTATGTAGTTCCTCCTTAAAACAAGTTAGACAACTCCAACCAGAACGTTATGAAATAATTTGCCAGGTGTCTCACAATATTGAAGTGGTCAAATCATAATGAACACAAGTCAGTGCAAATGCAAAACATTCCCAACTTTATTAAGAAGCAAGTTACAATAGCTTTTACAACAAAACAATACTATCTCTAATCTTATTCAACCCCTTAAACTTACAGTACCTCCCGAGTCTCTTATTGATTTATGCAGTCGCTCTTTCCCTTTGGCTCTGTCTTTGGGACTGTGAAGCTGCTCTGTCTCTCTCCCTCTCTCTCAGTGGTCAGTTGGTCTCTGCCTGTTGCCATTCTGGTCTCCTCAGTAGGTCTCCAGGTGATTCAAGAGAATCCAAGAGAGCGGTCTGCAGGTGAACCCAGTTTTTAAACCTGTGGTTTTCTGGAATTTTCTATATTTCTGGCCAATCAGGGAAACTCGCATAGTGCTTTGAAAAATTGTCAATAATTTAGATGGCTTGCTACTGTTTGTTTCTTTGTGTAGTGGGACCCCGTGCCTTTCCATTTGAGCCCTCCTTTGTTTGGTTGATAAATGGTTGGAGACGTGTCTGTCCAGGATAACTGTTGCTTTTTACATTATGCTAATGTCATTAGCACCTGTGCGGTGTTTGCACTGTGTCCATTGTGTGGGTTTTATGACTTCACAGTTTTACTTGGCTAATGAACCCAGCATCCCTTGCTGTTTGGCCAAGTTAGCAATTTCCCTGTGTTGTAGCAGCCAACAGGCTGTTACATATCCACGCCCCTGCCTTTTTAATGGAAAGAAGTTATGTGAACGAAGTTGAAATGTAATTGTAAAAATTGGTTCTATTTGTTGTCAGGGGAGCCGATGTGTTTGTGTGAAAGCTATTGAGCCATTGTGCACATTGGTCAAGCCTACCATGTAATTATATGTACAACAGAGGAAAAGCTCCCATTGCAATAATCCATGCAGGATTGTGGTGCATAGACAACATTCAGTAATCTTAACAAATTGAAATGACAATAGTGATAACCATGGAAGTTCCATCTAATAGTCCCTCAGTGAGTGTACAGGCATTATTCATAGTTATCGGGCCCATTTGTTGGGTTATTTGTCTTTTCCAGCCTACAATCTTAACTGGTAGCATCCTGAGGTTTATCAAGGCGAATGCAATTAGGACAACAGCTCGATGAAAGAAGAAGTAAAAAAAGTTCTGAGGAAGGGTCAATGGACCTGAAACGTTAACTCTGATTTTTTCTTCATAGATGCTACCAGACCTAATGAGCTTCCAGCAACTTCTGTTTTTGAACCAAATTCATGGTTGACAGGCTATGGGCATACAATGGTATGACCTGTTTGTCTGCATTTATTCAGAATTGTCCCTATCAATGTCCCCTGTCTGTCCACAGCATATTGGAGGGAGTCAAGGTAGCCCATCCAAATACCTTTAGTTTTTAATAATTCTGATATTTTTGACTTTAAAGGTTCTCAACCCAACTTTATCACTAGGAATAATTGGAATCCCTAGCACCAAGCCTCGCCAAGAGTGTCCTTGCAGTTATAAAGTATACCACACCTTCTTGAGCTGCTGCAACTGATAGCTAGAGATGTTAGTGTGGATTCTCTCCTGGAACAAATATTCAAGCTGTTCATCACTAATCCAGGACAAGACTTTCCCTTCGCTTGCCTGTCTAGCTCCTCCCTCAGGTGTTCAGTCATCCAGTTACTGTGGATGCTGCACAGGGTGCTGTTTGGCTGCTCACTGTCATCCCTGATTTTGCCCCAGATGGTCTGGTTAATTGTCTTGGCATGGCTTTTTAGTATGGTCACTAAGTGGTGGCTAGCCTGATTCTCTGCTAGTTGTCTTGCGGTCTCTTGGACTATTGGCTTTCAGTCCTTCTTGGGCTCATTTCACTTGCTGAGTCAAGATCCTGAGTTTATTATCCAAATTAGCCGAATCAAGGGTATTGACCATTGGCATTCCTGCCCCCTATGCTGTGGCTATATCATTAAGGAGTTCCCTTCTCTTTCATCTACCAGCTGGGTTTTCTCTTATGTTTCCCAGTCCCTCATCCCATTATTCTACAGGCTTGAGGTGAATCTTATCAACCAAGTTTTTACCTGTGTGTTTAATTATTAGCCCATTGTGCGGCCCTGGCGTGTGTGTGGGGGATCAGGCTTGGGGAGGAGTCTTCACTACCGGTCTTAGCCCACTTTTGATTTTGTACTAGAGGAATTCTCCCTGGTGGGGCCACCCAGGCATCTCTATCCCAATTCTGACCCGTTGTCCAGGTTGTGTGCTAGGTACTATCATGCACCCATTCTTGGAGAAATGCCACCAATTGTCTGTGATCCCTACACTTATATATCACAATGTGGAGCTCCCATTGGGTTCCCTTACACCACGATTGTTACACTTGAATGCCACCGATTTTTGCAGGGTGGACCCAGAGGATCCGTGACTTACTATGTCATCTGCTGGATCACACCACAGATATCCAGAGTGCATCGTTTTACACGCCCTACATTTTTACATACAGTCATTATTATGCTTATATATAAAGCACAAATGCTGCAGAAGGGTTGCACCACTGCCTTGGAGAAGCTGCTCCGGTGTGCTTCATAAAAAGAGCACACGAATAATTTCGGAAAATATCTTTGTGTAATATCTGACACTGTGTTCTACATAACATTTTAAAATTGTCAAACTGTCCAGTTGTCACCCATTCCCGGCCCCTGCCATATTTTCAATGAAAAACAAAAAGAAAAATAGAATAAATGTGCCCCGTGTACACGATGTGGAGGGATGGGATTGTCATCTAGTGTGCAAATGGATGTTTAGCAGTGATAGGAGCTGTTCCTGATTAGCTAGCATGAGTTGGCTTGAGCACACATTTGGCTAGGGAACTTTAAAGCTATTTCCATAATGGGGTTGCCCCTGTCATCCTCAACACAGAAGCCATAGCCTGTTTTCACTTAAGCTGTTGCTGCCAGGAAGGTACCCCTGGGTGTTGGCCCCTTTTTCCAGACTTCCCATTGCCAGGTTAGAATCTTAGGTGCCCAGCAGTCCTGAATGAAATGGCTGTTTCGGACACAGATATAGCACAGATTGGGTTTCGGTTTCATTTGTGGGAGTTCTCTACTCTGCGGGCAGGGGACCCGTACGGAGGGTAAGTCAGTCTGGGAGTCCTTGGTGTATCCCCCACCCTTCCTATAGGCCTTTAAGTTGGAGGGGGCCTATAAGAACTCCGGGCCTCACTAATGTGGACCGACCTTTTGGGTGACTGCTGTGCCCTTAAGTCCCTTTCCCACGCAGCAATTCATTTGTGGAGAATCAAAGAACAAAGAACAAAGAAAATTACATCATAGGAACAGGCCCTTCAGCCCTCCAAGCCTGCGCCGATCCAGATCCTCTATCTAAACCTGTCGTCTATTTTCCAAGGATCTGTATCCCTCTGCTGCCTGCCCATTCATGCATCTGTCTACATACATCTTAAATGATGCTATCGTGCCCGCCTCTACCACCTCCGCTGGCAACGCGTTCCAGGCACCCACCAACCTCTGCAGAACTTACCACGCATATCTCCCTTAAACTTTTCCCCTCTCACTTTGAAATCGTGACCCCTAGTAATTGAGTCCCCCACTCTGGGAAAAAGCTTCTTGCTATCCACCCTGTCTATACCTTTCATGATTTTGTAGACCTCAATCAGGTCCCCCCTCAACCTCTGTCTTTCTAATGTAAATAATCCTAATCTACTCAACCTCTCTTCATAGCTAGCGCCCTCCATACCAGGCAACATCCTGGTGAACCTCCTCTGCACCCTCTCCAAAGCATCCACATCCTTTTGGTAATGTGGCGACCAGAACTGTACGCAGTATTCCAAATGTGGTTGAACCAAAGTCCTATACAACGGTAACATGACCTGCCAACTCTTGTACTCAATACCCCGTCCAATGAATGAAAGCATGCCGTATGCCTTCTTGACCACTCTATCCACCTGCGTTGCCACCTTCAAG